CAGGGAAGGAGTGACCACTGTGGTGGCAGGCGGGAGTTCTGGGCGTTTCTAGCTTTTCTCCATCATGTCCCACTTCCTTTCCTCTTTCCTCTCTGCCCTAGACATGCTCTGACCCCACAAGCTGTTCTGGCTGATGTACCCTTGGTTTCACTGGTAGTTTAGCCAAGATAAAGCAAGAGAAAATGTTCTGTATGGTTCTCAAGTTTCCCCAAGTCTTGCCATCTGTAGATTTGTTCGGGTCTCTTTAACAGCAGGAGAACAAGTCTCCAACCGCCCTCACCAAGTATTTCTTGGCCAGCTCCTGGAGCCCCACCATGAGGCCCTGCACCACTAACATGGCCCCTTGACCACCATCAAGGTCTCTTGAAGACAGGCCCTTCGGCACAAGCGCTACTTCGGCTTCTTCTTTGCAGAGTTGATCCCCCCTGCTCCAAGGGGGCAGATTCCTGATGTTTACAAAAACACAAATCCTCCAGGCCTCAAAGCAGCTCCCCAGGGCTGAAGAAATGGGGTCACTCACAGCGGTGGGGGGAAATGTCCCTGTCTTCATAAAGACTGCTAAATAGTACTTGTCTCTCCCAATCCCAGATGTTTCCCCAGAAGCCTTTGCAAAGAAAAAGAAAACAACGGGGCACCTGGGTGGCTCACTCGGTTAAGTGTCCGACTCTTGATTTTGGCTCGGGTCACCGTCTCAGGATCATGAGGTCGGTCCTGCGTCGGGCTCAGAGCTGAGCGTGGAGCCTGCTTGGGATTCTCTCTTTCCCTCTCCCTCTGCTCCTTCCCCTGCTCAGCATGAACATGTCACATGCTCTTAGAAAAGAAACCAAGAATTGGGTCCTAGGTAGCAAATGCTTTTTGGAAGGACAAATTATTTTTGTGCTTCCCATGTGCCAGACACCTTGCTAGCTTCTTTCCATGTCAGTTTACTTAATGGTTATAGCAACTGTAGGAGGTGTGTACTGCCCACCTTCTCTCCAGATGAGGAACAGAGCTTTAGCTGCGTCCGATACAGCCAACATCACTGTCATTGGTCTCCAAAGCCCATCCCACTGCCGTGATGGAGACCGGTGTCCTATAGATTTTACATAAGCCAACAACAAAAGACAAAAACAAATACCCATTTAGCTTCAGTTTGGTGCTTCATAGGCACTGGAATAATTTGCATTACAATTATTATGTAGCAGGTAATTGGTGCATATTCAGTGGAGGGAAGATAGAGGACCCTCTGGGCCCACAAAAGATACAGATGAGCTCTCCTGATATGCATGACACCATAGCCTTCTCTTATGTATATAGATGGCACTTACCTACCTTTATATGCACAGATGGCAGGTACCTAGCCTCAGGCCCACAGATGCATGCAGCTCCTCATGTGTGTGGTCGGTCTGTACCTATCCTCGTGTGCTCTCATGGTACACAGCCACCCCTGTGCACACAGATGATACGTACTTTTCTTAAGGGCTGGTGACACGTTACTCACGGGATAAGGAAGTCCGACATGGGGTGAAGTGCTTTATAATAGACATTCACACTACTTAGTAACTGTTCAAGTTTATACCATGTGAGATTTTTCTCTTTCATGCATTGGACCTGCTTACTAAGGTTAGGGTGTTATAAGACAACCGTTCAGTGCATGGTGACCTGTTCCTGGCTGTTTGATAATTCCAGGGATGAACACTTGATCCAGCTGGGCATTGCGATCCCAGAGTCCTTGCCTAAGACTTTGGTAATAGGGACTTAAAAAGAGAGTCGGCTTTCTTTAGTGACCAAAACTGTGGACATTGAGGCTATCAGTGACTAGGTGAAGAAAGTTGATGTGCAAGCAAAAGATCAATGAAACCAACACACACACACACACACACACAGAGAGAGAGAGAGAGAGAGAGAGAGAGAAAGGCAGAGACAGACATGAAGACATTTGAGCATTTTAGTTCTTGGTTCTGATATGGCCTGGGTATTTCATGAAGAGGGGCCTAAAATCTTTGACCAAGTCCTTCTCTCTGCTAAGGCTAGTCAGGGATGGTTTGCGGTTAGTTCCAAGAAGAGAGCCCTTACCAGTGCAGAATGTCTGATGATTCCTGTCCTTTTTGTGCTGATACACTGAGTAAATACCTACTGAGAGGCAGACCTGTGACACTCTCTCAATGCTCAAAATAAAGATATGGCCCAGATCTCCTGTCAGAGATGGTTAATCTGGTATACTAATTTTTCAGAAACTTTCCAAATATAAATTTATGATTAAGTACTTAAGTATTATCGTAAGTACTTAAGATACATTTAAGCTACATGCATAAGTTTGCCTAGTAAACTTCTATTGATCTGGCTTTCTAAACAATAAGAGATTTGAAATTACCAAATTTTTCCTAACCCTATGGAAGCCAATGAAATAAGATATGGTGACTAAGGGAAATATTCTAAAAAACACCTTTTGGGATACACTACAGGGTCGACATGAACACCTTCACTGTTCTATTTCAGGGCCTGAATCATCAAAGCAATATGAGGCACAGCGTGACCTTGAAGTGTATTTTAGTCTCCCATATTTCTATGATATAACTTGTTTAAAATTCACGTATGAGCATCATGGTAACAGCTACTACTTCTGAGCTCTTGCCATGTAGTAGGCAGGTACCTTTCTGGGAGCCAAACACACATTAACTCCTTTAACCACCACAGCAATCCTCTTGGGTAGATACTGTCGTTTAATCCCTATTCGCAGATGACCGAGAGGTAACATAATTTGCCCAAGGTCACACAACCATCAGGGGGTTAAGCTGTGGAGAGGACAGCCTGATACTAGAATCTACACCTCTTAGGTAACTAAGATAATCCTAGCAGGTCTCAGGTTAAGTAGCATAATCTAACAAGACAACCTACTTCTCAAGTCCTTAGAGGGGATTTTGATGTATATTTCTTTATAAGCTCTTTGGGTTTGTAGAATATGGGTCAGGTATCAGGGAGGCAGACATCTATGCAGGAAATCTTTTATTATGAGGGCTAGAGGCCCTGTGACTCAAAAGAGAGCAACATGGTGGATCTCCTCAACCCAAAGACGGCCTCCGCCAGTCTCTCCTTGTTTCCTTATGGTGAGAGCAAAGCTTTCCAAGGTTTCCCATCTCTCTTGGGGTGAAAGTCAGAACACTTCTTGGGCCACAGGCCTTGTCAATCTCACCAGTCTCCACTGGGCCACTGTGCCCTGATTCTCTGGCCTTACATTTCTCCCATCATAAAACCTTTAGGTAAGACATTTCCTCTGACTGGTACCTACCTCCACTTCATCTGTGGCACTTAGGCAAATCCTAACTCATCTGTTAGGCCTTCCCTGAACGACAGACCACATCTGGTTCCCTTCTTACAATCTCACAGCATCTTGTACTTCTTGTATTTATGAAAGTGGTAACCGAAAAATTGTGTAATTACTGAGTATCTGTCTCCCTGGCCCTGGCGGCAAGCTTCAGGTAGGTAGGGGTTGTGTTTGTCTTGTTCATTGCTGAATCCCCAGCACTTAGCCCACAGCTTAGCAGGTAGTTAGCCCCTAATTAATATTTGTAAACTAAGTAGAAGAATTACCAGCCGCCAGCTGAAGAGGAAATTCTCGAGTCTCCTTGGCATGGACCAGACCTGTCCAGACAAAGAGAATGCTAGAGCAGCTTGGCAGAGTGGTCAGCAAGCCAGAGGATAAACAAGTATACCTATAATTTTTTTCTTCTATACAACTTTTAACTGATTGGCAAGTGGCGAGGGCAAAATTATGATTTTGTGAGCAATAAAATACAATCCAGTTTTAACAGTGCTAAAATCTTGATCAAAGAAATTTCAAATCAGAACACTGGGGGGCCAAAGTAAAAGAAACATAGTGGTTTTGATGTTATTATGTCTTGCTACCAAGTATGTTTCTCTGGTTATAGGTGTTCGCCTTTAGTTGCAGCTCTGTCAATTTCATGTTTTATCTTTAGTTTTTGCAAAGGTTTTTTTTTTTTTTCTTTTATCATCTCTTTACTGATTCCTCGAAACAATCTTAATGCGGAGAACCGGTGCCAACGGCCTGGACGATGAAGAAATGTTTCCTCTTTCAAAGACTATTTTTTGGACGATAAGAATTGCCAAAGAGGAAGCAATCAAACCTATCGCGCTGGCTCTGTCCTCCACCCAGCGCGCTGCTTCCTGGTTTTAGACGCTTTCAGATCCTCCTGCTAAGTGTCATTGGACACATAAAACTGGACTGCCACGCGTTTTTTGTTGTTGTTGTTGTTTTTTGTTTGTTTTTCTTGAGGTCCCGTCTCTCAGTCTGTTCACCTGGAAGATACCACACGGGAATCGGTCGCGCAAATCCAATTCGTTTCCCGGTGGCAATGAACCAGTTTGCAGCGTTCACCAATGTGACATCAATCCTAAGCCGACGCTGGGAAAATGTGGCTCCACTTGTTTTCCGGCAAGCCTGCGGCCCCCTTCGCGGCCCTGAGGCCCTTCACTTCCCTCCAGGCTCCGCCGGGTGCCCCGCAGTCCCGGGAGGCGCGTCTTGTGGGCCGCTCTGGGGGACGGTCGCTGCGAGGGACACCCAGGGGGCCTCCCCGAGGACGCGGCAAAACCCAGACGGACTTCGGAGATTCAAAAAACCACCGCAGGAAGTTGGGCCTCCCAAAGACAGGTGCTACCTTCGCAAGGCCTCAGCTCCCCAACGCCTCCAGCTCTCACCGGGCCCTTCTCGTCGCGGGTCGCCCACAGCCTGTGTCTGCCGCCCCGCGCGAACCGCGGAGGATGCGGGCGGCGCCAGGAGCGGCCGCCAACTCCCGCCACACCCGTCTGCCCCGCCGCGCCTTGCCGCGCCGCGGCCAAAGCCTCCGCCACGTGCCCGCCTCCCGCAGCCAGGCCGCTCGCGATTGGCTGGCGGCGCCGCCCGTCGCGAGGGGCGGGAGCGTCGCCCGCAGGCCGGCGCTCCAATTGGTCGTGGCAGCAGCGGCGGCGGCGCGCGCGGCCCCGGCGAGGAGGGGAAGCCGGTGGCGGCGGCGGCGGCGGAACGGGCGGAGGCTGCCGGTTTCGTAACCGTCGCTCCTCCTCGGTGACTCGCGGGCTGCGAGGCCTGGGTCCGTCGGGCCGCGCCGCGCGGGGCCTCTCGGAGTGGAGGCCGCCTGGGGGCGGGCGGGCTGGAGGCGCAGGTAAGGAGGCCGCGGGCGGGCGGGCTGAGGGAAGGAGGAGGAGGCCGCGGCGGAGCCGGCCGCTCGCCTAGGTGCCGGCCGGGCTCGAGGAGACCCGGCCGGGCCTGAGGCGGCCGGCTGGCCGGGAAGGCCCCGCGCGGCCCCGAGTGGCGTCTGATGCAACCTGCCGGCAACACCCGGCGGGGCCGCTGAGCTCATCCCTGGCCGCGGCCCAACACCGCGGCGCCACCCGCCGACCCCCGCGCTCCGCCCCGGGAGCCCCTCGCCGCCGGCCCGCGACGGGACGGGGTGGGGCGGGGCGGGGGACGAGGTGTGCCCTCTCCGGAACCCGGCGTCTGTTGGAGAAACGGGCAGTGGTGACAGGCCAGGCGCGTTATTGGCCTCCGGGGATACGGGGTGTTCCCCAGAGCAGCGGGAGGTAGACCGTCCCTCACTGTAGTGCCACATCGGGTCTTGCCCGCCCCTCCAACCAAGACCGCTCGGTGCGGGGAGGCGACCCTTGGGTTCCGAAGTTCGTAGAGCGTTCAAGTGGGCAAGGAGAGCAGTTCATGGTGAAGTCCGTGACTTTCCAGAACTAATCCCGCGCTCGCTTGAGGAGCTGTAATGCGAATATCCTGCACTTCACTGCCCTACGAGGTTAGACGAATGTGCGGCCGGTGGACTAAGAAAGAGACGGGCCAGAAGCGGAGCGCTTCGTTAGCCGGTCGCAGCGAACACAGGCGAGAAAACAGCTAGCAGAGGTGTCCAGGTGAAGAGGATGATTGAGGGGGAAGGGTCTTCTGTCCTCCCGCGGGAGCTTGTATGTTTTTATCCTTCGGAAGGTTTAATCGTTCCGTTGGCCTTGTGTTGTGATCAGGCACCTTAAAACGAGTCGGTTTCAGAAGGGTTTTCAGGTGAGTGGGTTACACAAAATTTGGTAGTTTTCTCCCCGAGCCTATACTCAGCGAATCCTTATGTGAAGAGTTTGCCCTTCAATTCGGATAGGATAACGCGACTCCCCGATAAATTTTGGAAAGAAAATGCTGTAAGGGCTCGCTCTGCTAAGGAATTCTGCATCTTGATACTGAAAAGTTTAAAAATCTGGTCAGCGATTACCACTTGTTCTTAAAGTGGATTCTCTGTTTCTGAAAAAGCTTACTATAAATAAGGCTCAGTAATTACAGGATGCCAGTGAGCTGAAGAATTTTTCGATTTCTTGATTCCTGCTTCTGGTGGGTGCACTTGTCTGATTCAGTCGTTTTTAATACCTGCCTGAAAAACAGGAGGAAACACGGATTCATTTTTTTCAAAGTATCCGTTAAATTCTCCAGAGCACATCATGACTGTCAGCAGTTGTCTAATTTTGGAGGTGGTTTCACCTGTAGGGATTTAAACAGCACCTGGTGAGTCCCTGGTAAAGACAAATAGGACCTCAGGGGATTGAATTTGGTCTTTTGGTCTAGGATTGCCTCACCTGACCCATGGTAAATGTGGGTAGCTGCAATTCCTGGTCTGTTGTATATTCTTGGGAGCGAGTGTTTCCATGGGGTTCTTGTAGGTTCTTTGGTCTCCTACCTTTCTGGCTTTCCAGCCCTATGGGTTAAAAAATTTTTTTATTTGAGTAAGATTTCCTGTTAGAGGTATATTTATAAACAATGTGTGTACTGTTTTTTTGTATGTTGTAAATCCTACCAAAAGTAGATTAAAAAGATGATGTTAAAAAAGACAAATGAGGGGCGCCTGGGTGGCTCAGTGGGTTAAAGCCTCTGCTTTCGGCTCGGGTCATGATCCCAGGGTCCTGGGATCGAGCCCCGCATCGGGCTCTCTGCTCATCAGGGAGCCTGCTTCCCCCTCTCTCTCTGCCTGCCTCTCTGCCTACTTGTGATCTCTGTCTGTCAAATAAATCAAAAAAAAAAAAACAAAAAAAAACCACTTTACCACTGCTAAAAAAAAAAAAAAAAAAAGACAAGTGAACGTACATTTTCTCCATACTCCAGTGGACCATTCATGTACTCCCCAAAGGGATGTACCCTCCTTCATGGAGCCCCGTGTTGGGTCATAAAGCAAGCAGCGGCAGCTAAATAGAAATCCTGCTCATTTGGGTATGTATTGACTTTGCTTACCTTGACATCATGTAAAGTACAGAGTTGTCAGACCTTGGCAACATGTACCTCAGAACTTGAGGTTATTCATTGGAACACATAACTGGCTAAATAGAAAATAAAGGTTCTTAGATGAAGCAAAGACCAGACAAGAAATGTTCATTGTGTAGACTGGGCACTCGAAGTAGCAAGTGGACTTGTATTCTTATTTTCCTGTCCACCTTTAAGAAAGACCAAGAACTTAGGGTAGGAAGGCTACTATCTTACTAACACTCTTGATTTAATTGTGGTTGTTTTAAGAGATTTCAGTGCTAGAGAATCTCATTTTTATATAGGACATTTATAAAAATAAATGTTTTCTCTTCGCTTCTGAGCCAGTATTGGACAAATATTTCTCCAGCACCACCACTCTGTGGCTAGCCCTGCACTAGGTGCTGGGCATATGGATATGAAGACAGAGTCCTGCCTCTAGCTTGGTCTGCAGGGAGCCACACTATAGAGCTGGCACTGACAGAGAAACTAGGGGAACAGATTGGACAGCCACACAAAGAAAAAAAGAAAGCGTGACCATTTAGGGGATCGGTAGTGGTTCGGTATTATCGCGGTGTGAAGAAGCATAAGGAGCAAGGGCTGGGCTGGGAGTGAATACCTTCAATTTGATGCTGGACCCCGGAGCAGGTTTGAGTGCTCAGTTGCTCTGGAGACCATGGTTGGAGGGTGCACTGCTAAACCAGAGGGGACGAGTGCCCCTGGGAGATGATGTCAGCCTGAGGTAATTCTGTGGTGTTAGGACAGAGAGGGATGGTGCTTGGAAGTTCTTTTGGGAGGTGGATGGGTAGAATTGTCAGATACCGATGATTGTACAGATTGGGAGTAAGGGAGAAACATCTGTGAATATTTTGGAGTATAGATGCTCATGAGGAAGTTTGAGTTGAGAATTTATTTTGGGGAGCATGGGGAGGAATATCTGGTTGTCCATAACATCAAAAAAGAAATGACAGGAGGATTAGGAAAAGTCTTGACAACTTTGCTTTCCCAAATGAAACTTGAGAGAAATTTGTTTTACTCATTCTAACCTTTCTGAGTTTTCAGTGTGTTACTGATTTGAATGAAGACTACTTGAATGAAGAAATCTGAATTTTAAAAAAATTTGCCCAGTCAGACCGTCTTTCTAAAGATCCATTGTTAATCTGCAGCATTGGCTCTCAGACCTCAGTGTCAGCGGAATCATTTGGAGGGCCCTTTAAAACAAGATTGCTCAGCCCTATTCCTAGAGCTCTGCATTCTTATGTGGGGGTAGGGGGGGCAGCCTGAGAATCTGCGTTTCTGACAAGTTCCCAAATGCTGCTGCTGCTGGTCCAGGGACCACACTTTGAGAACTACTGCTCTTCAGTTTGTCTCCTGCTCCCTGCTTGAATGATTCACATGCTAAGAGACGAGGCACCACCCGACTTCCTGTAGAATGAACTTTGGAATAGTGTTTGTCCACATAGGAGCCAGACTTTTGTTTATGATTGAATATCCAGATTTGAAATAAACTCATTTTTTTCCCCATTGTAGTTGCTCAGTAAATGTTTGTGGAAGGAACAAAAGCACAAGTGATAGTGGAAACTGAAATGTGTAACTTTGAAGGAGGCTATCTGGCTTGTGTAAAAACAGAATTGATAATCTGGAGTTAACTTTCTTGGACCACTTGGCCCTTTGATCCCCTTTACTTGGTTTGCTTTCCTTAATGGATATTTTTCACTTAAAACTTTGTTGGCTTTGGTTGAGGAACTTAAAAAAAATCACTTTTGAGTTCTTTTTATTGTTTCCAAGTTTCCTTGCTTATATTATTACCAATTTGATAGTTACTCTTTGTTTTTCAAGCAAAGGGCACATTTTCAAAGCCCCCCTCTGCCCCTCACGCCTGCTATGTTCAGCCTAGTACCCTAGCGAGAGGAGTCAGGCTGAGGTAAAATAGCTCTTCCCCATTCCCGTATGTTTGGGTACAAAAACGGGCATGAATATCACTGAATTTGGTGCCTGTAGTAAAAGCTTTTAGTGACTTGGGAATAAAAAGCAGGGCATAAGGGCTCTTTTATAGTGACTGAAGTTCGTGGTATATTTTCAGAGTCAGAAGACATCTTAACATTCTCTGTCCCTCACTTGCAGTTGGGGAAATTGAGGCCCAAAGAGGGGAATGATAGGTCCAGAGCAAAACTGGGGGAGCCAGAGCCAAGACAAAAATTGACCTGGTTCCTGCTCTTTGTTTTTTGGATCATTGTTATCTGTGAGCTGTCTGTAGAGATTAGCTTTAAAGATTAAAAACATAATTGGTGTATGAAAAATAAAAAAGTTAAATAAGATGACCATGATCATGATAGTTGAGACAATCCCAGGAGAAGTATTAAAAAAGTTTTAAAGTCACCTAAAATTCTTATGCTCACTTTACACCAAATAAATAAGCAATAATGTAGATGGCCACTAACAGTGGTAAGGTGGCCCAGATTAATACTGAATTGCCACTGTTCAACTGGAAGGAAAAATAGGCAACATCATAAATTATCCAGGAAAATTGTGAAATGTCCATTATTGAAGATAGACTTGGAGTAGATATCCATCTGTGGTTTGGAAGGAAGCTTTCTCTTTTGCCTTAGTTTGGAGTGCGAACAGGTGACCCACTAACTCAGGGCTGCATGCATGGCTTTGAAAACAATTGAAAATAATGATAATATGGACTTTAAAAGGAAAGATTTTTAAAAGCAGACCAGTGAAGAGTGTTTATACAAGAAACGCCTGGCTAAAGGTTTGGGTGAAGCTACTGGTGTTTACTAACTGAGCTTTTCCTAAGAACTGTGAGATGTACTCATTGAGGCATTTCATAATTCCGGCTCCAGGTTTTTTCCATTGATATAGGTTTAGCAGTTTTGTGAAAAGAGAGCAGGGTAGTTCTGAATTTCCAAGAGTCCTGATTTCTTGGTGGACAGGGCTCATCTGCTGAGTCAGTTTGTCTTGAAGTGGCCTCGTGATCGCGTATGGGCTCATAATAGGTCTGCTTTTGACACATCTTGAGGCAGTTGTAGTGACTTAGTTGGATTGATGGTGATCCAAGTATGACTAGTCTCTGAAACTGTGGCTTCATTCCTAGGAGCAGCTGCACAGGAACACTGGAGAGTTGGTGTTCCCTCCGCTGTGTCTGCCGAGTTCAGTGGGTGCCGGCTCAGGCTCTCTGCCGGGCTTCAGTCCCATACTTGCTCTTCTTGGGGTGCATCATTAGGGCTTTTGTTTCTTTCCCTGTGGTTGCAGGTTGCCCGTGTTGAGATGTGTTTATAAATTATGTCAAGAAGGGGGAAAAAAAAACCCACAGTTAGAAGCAGCATGGTGGGATGGCGCAGCACACTGGAGGTCCCAGAGCTTCTGGATCTCTGAACCAAGAAGCTAACTTCGGAAATTAGTGTAAACTACGATCTGTGAGGTCATTAAAAACGAAACAAAAAAACCAAGCCCCCTCTTACCCCTCCCCCAGCAAAAAATGTCTTTTCGTAATTCTCCATAAAGATGTACTCCGGGAGAAAAGTCAAGTCCTTGGTGACTCAGTCTCTGCATACTGGTGTCAGGAGCATACAGTCATCCTGACAAGTTGTGGAGATCAGGCACGGTGCCTAGGATTCTGTTTTGACGTGAGCCAACAATTGAAACTTTGTCCCCCTTTCTTTGCAGGTGTCTCTTCTATCCTAATTGAACTCAGGTTTTCCGTGTTTTACCTAAACATCTCAAATTTCTCTCTGGCAGATTGCCAAGTGCTATTCGTCTGTGCTACCTAATTAGTGATATTCTTTTGTTTTTCCTTCCATTTTTGATGATAATCACAGATGGGCAGTACCCTCAGGGATTCAGGTGGGCTGAATTTGGCCTTATGGTGCTCCTGTACTAACTTACCTTTCTAAATTAAATGATTTAGACTTCTGAAACATTGGAACAGTTGGCAGTTTCTGTATACTTTTCTCAGCATAATCAATTAATGTTGGCCTGCTGTTAGGTACATGCAAGTTTAATCTCATTTGATCTTGTCACTTCAAACATTTTAATGCAATTTATTTTTTAACTAGGTACATGTGAAGATTTCTTGGCAGCTTAGTGTGGAAACCATTGATCACTTTGCTCTCATTTCTGCCTGTTCTGTGTCCGCAAGAGAGAGAGCCCAAATGAGCAAGATAGCCCAGCAGAACAGTTCTCCGGGAATAAGTGTTATTCATACTCAGGCTCATGCCAGCGGCTTACAGCAGGTTCCTCAGCTGGTGCCTGCTGGCCCGGGGGGAGGAGGCAAAGCCGTGCCTCCAAGCAAGCAAAGCAAAAAGAGTTCGCCCATGGATCGCAACAGCGATGAGTATCGTCAGCGCAGAGAGAGGAACAACATGGCTGTGAAAAAGAGCCGGTTGAAAAGCAAGCAGAAAGCCCAGGATACACTGCAGAGAGTGAATCAGCTCAAAGAAGAGAATGAACGGTTGGAAGCAAAAATTAAATTGCTGACTAAGGAATTAAGCGTACTGAAAGATTTGTTTCTTGAGCACGCACACAACCTTGCAGATAACGTGCAACCCACTAGCACTGAAAATACAACAGCTTCCGATAATGCAGGCCAGTAGACCTCACCTCTTCAAAACTTCACGACTCGTGGCTTGAACGTTAAAGGTGTGACTGCCTACACCATTCATATCAATGGCCGAACACGGTCTCGTTCCATTATTCAAAGATCCACTGAAGGTTGTTTTCCAGGATCAGCACTGAAGGGTTGATTAGCTTAAAAATGTTAGCCATGTAATTTGAATATCTAGTTTGAAATGATAGGGATTTTTTTGTGTGGATAAAACACATTTTTAAGGTATATGGTAAAGAAAAAAAAAAAAACACACCCCTGGACCTTGATGTTCTTAATAAATCCTCACTTCCCAAGAAATGCTTCTTTTGTAGGTTGATAAAAGGAATGGGGGAACTGGCAGGTCCTGCAGAAGGGTCTTGGTTTTATTGGAGATGATTAATTAGACTAAGGAAAGTTGAATGCCATCTATGTTGATTGTATTGTGATTTGTTTTTCTAAATTATGTATTAAAAATCCTTAGGGCTATAGAAATCAATCACTTTGTAATTTGGAGTGATTTTATGTATAACATAAACCTTGTTTTAGCCTAATTAGTACTCTTTTCCCCCAACAAGTGTAAATTTTTTTTTGAGTATTGGTGCCAGGTTAAGTAAATTCCGTTGCTTCTGCCAGTTGGCTTAAAAATACAAATAATTAGGCAAATAGATTTCCTAAAAATAACAGTAAAGCATATTAAAATTATCCTTTTGGGATACTTTGGGTTATTGGATTGGCATTATTTTGTTTTCTAACAAGAAAAAACCCCCAAGAGTTGTATATCACAATTTTTGTTTCTGTAGATGGTGGTCAAATAAGTAAATATTTTTAAAATACCATTTTGACAGTCAAATTAGTAAACAAATGCCTTAACAGTTTACAGATTGGGATTTAGGTAGTTTCTCCTGTGTCTAAATATCTGAAATGGAGCCATGATTTTTAAAGGCATAAATTTCTTGTGAAGGATCATTTGGCATTTGATCCTAACAAAGTGATTATTAGAAAAATATGTCATCAACTCTATGCTGTCTCCCAAATAGTAGTCTAAGAAAACTTGAAGTGTAAGGTTTAACCTTTAATTTATTTCACTTAAATACATCTTTTTATATTGTTTTTGTGATGTTTCTTTTTCTAGTTAGTGGGCTCTTGTAGACTTTTTGTACCACTGCTTCTGTTTGTTCATTTGTATGCTTTTGTGTCCCATAAATTATTTTAGAAAGAAAATACTGGTAAATCTCAGGATATTGACATTTTTGTTGAGACTAAAAAATGGCCGTCGCTAAAGTCGGGGATTGCGCGGGTCTGGTTTATGTCAGTGTTGGTGGTTTTGATTGTCCTTGTCGATTTCTTTCTTTTCTTTTCTTTTTCTTTTTTTTTTTTTTTAAAGCACAATCCTAGCTCAGATTTGTTGACTTTTGTGTATTACTGTGTGTATGTGTCTGGGCTGGTGACAAGAGACAAGAGTCACATCTGATTAAAAAGTTTGTGTTACCAGGTATCTTATTTGGACATGGTCACTTCATTTTTGGCCATATTGTTTCTTACTAGGACCTAGAAGTTGTCCCCTTGGGTTGGTGCAAGATTGCTGTCTTTGCTCTTCTGGGCCAGCGGAAATACCATTGTGACCTGCAACTCAGTAAAGCCATTATTAAGGCCATGAGCCTCTTCCACATGTGACTGGAACCCAGTGTCGTTAATGAGAGCCACTGTCCTGGGCGGGTTAGCTCCTCGGAGGGCCAGAAGACAGGACTGAGGTTTCTGTTAGGGTCCAACACCAGTTTACTCTGGCTGGAGTATCAGTCTGCTTCTCAGTCGATAGATGTTTTGACTAGGAGGTAACCCACAGAATCCTACTGAATCTTTAATAGCCGACTGATGTTATATAATTAACCTAAGTAGAGGTGCAGTTAGGTCACTTGAATCTTTAAGTACCTGTGAAGGTATTAACAGACATTGTTACCTCTTGTTTACTAAAAAAAAAAAAAAAAAGAAATTGATGTCCCTGTGGAATTTATGGTTACCAGTTATATGAATTGACTTAACTATCTTGGAAGAGGAGCTTTAGGGAAATCATCGGTGGTGTGCACTTGATATTTCAAATCCGAACAGATTGAAACTTTAGGAAAAATTGATTCAAGCTTTTCTGTTACCTATGCAAACCAGAACTTGAACACAAGCCATCATGTGTGCATAGAACAAAAATGTTAACCATTGTCTTAAGTGTTTGGGAATGAAAATTTGCAGTTTGATAGATTTCTCAGTATCAAATTGAGGGAAACCAAGTATGGGGAATGGGTAGATTTAGAGCTTTGGGAATTATAAGATGACTTTTGTAACTTCTGTAGGTTACATGTGAACCTTTAGGATTTGATCTGCCTTTGCTGGCAGGTCTAGTGATTTAGGAATTAGGCTTTAGTGTAAATGTCTAACTGCATCTGCGTCATCCGAGATGGGTGCTTTCTGGGTGGTACTGGCAGCAGGTGGTGAGATCAGAGCAGCTCTTCCGCTGACTGGCCCCTTGCGGTGACTGGAATGCGAGCTGGGATACTTTGGACCTTCTTACCAAGACGTAGTAAGATAGCGATTTTTTATGACCAGGTGTTTGAAATTTAGGTCACCAGTGTGAAATCCTGAAATTTACATAAAAAAGTAGTACGTGCAGTTTAATATTTGGTATTAAATCAGCTTTTGATGTTTCTCAGTCCCCATTAGAGGGCTTGAAACTTTGTACCTGAAAAGCCCAGTTGGCACTCAGAGTGCTTTTCGATGCCTTAGAATAGGAAGCAATGTTTTGTGTGACAGAAGATAGGGAGGAGAAAGTCCATTCTATAGCTGTTAGAGTTGCCTCTCAGGTAAAAGTCCTTTACCTTGTTCTTTGTGTTCCTGGCCTTCCTCAGTTTGTGAGATTACTCTATTTTTTTAAAAATAATTTTATTTCTTTCAATGAATTTGAAATAAAAAAAACTTTGGAATAATGACTGTATTTTCTTGTGGGTTTCTTTCTGTTCATATACACTGAGGAAGTAGTCCAGATGTCCAGGAGCTCTGAAGAGCAGGCAGGCTCAGCCGTCTTTCCTGCTCCCAGCCCAGGGCAGGGGTGAAGGTCACTGACGGGTGGAGGGGGGTGTGGGGGGGTGGGCAGGGAGCAAGAGGTGCTTTTGTCCAAGCCTAGATTTCCCTGATTGGATAGGAACATCATTTCCTCCGAATATAGAGTGCCTCTTCAGGGCTGTTCTTTGTCTGGTGGTCTCTAGCCCGGAAGCCTGGGCTAGGGTAGAGAAGGCAGTGGCTTGGCACGCCTGCTCGGATGCCTCGTGTCTCGGTGTGTGGTCTGCGTTCACACAGTGGCAGGAGAAATGAGTTCTTGAGGCTTTGAAGTAGATGGCAATGTCGAAGTAAGGCCTTTCCCCTAGCAGCACAATTTATAGCGTTGTACCTCGTCTTCATTTACGTGGTGCTGTAGAGTGTCTACAAATGAACGAGTCAATACTGAATCCATGCTGATTTGAGTGTTTCAAGGGAAGATGTCATTTAGAGACTCTTCTGTGATCCTTCAGCCATTTTCGTGTCTTGGGAAATAGGTTTCTACCTACTGGATCTAAATGGCAATTATAGTGCAGTAATTATTTCTGTGGGTAGTATGTCCTATTTTGTTTTTACAAAGTAGGTGTAATTTGGAAGCCCATAAACAGTTTGTCTTGGGAAATTTTCTGTAGAGATGGTTTGTGAAGGTGACAGCTCTTATTTTAGCAAAAGCACTTTCGGACCTGCTTGGTCACTGCCAGCGAGTATCTAGAGCCCGTGGGCACCGTGTGTGTACTCAGAGGAGACCGCCAGCCCCGGGTCATCTCCTACTGCCCCACACACTCCTCCCGCAGCTCTAGGCCTGGAAGCTCTGCAGTGGTGCCTGGAGGGCCCGGGATGCAGAACTGGGCTTGGAAGCCAAGGGGCATCTGGCCAGGCCTTCCCGCTCCGCCACCTTTCCCTTCTACTCCCGAAATGTGTGTCCCCTCCCTCCCCCACCGCACAGAACCATCATCTCTTCTTGCCCAGACTTGGTCTCCTTGGACCACTGCCTGCTCTCTGGAACCTTCTTTCGTTCCCCACTGTACCCAGAGGGAAACCCAGTCTCCTTGTGACGTGGCTCCCTTGATCTGTGGACTTGCTTTCCTTCTGTCCTCTGTCCCCTATTACTTTGCTTTGGCCGCAGGGCTCTTCCAGGCTCTTTCCAGGCTGCCTTCGAACAGCTCACGTCATGATGCCTCATCTAGTCTCGCTTTTCCTGTCGCAGCCCAGCCCCCTGACTTTCAAGACAAGGCCAGCCCTGTTACTTTCCTTCATGGCACTTTTCTGTGAAGAGATTTGTGCTTGTTCAAGGCGAAGCCTCTCGGGAACCCACAGGCTCAGAGAGCAGGGGCGCGGTGGGTTTAAATTACGCTGGCCCAGAGGAGATGCTTAGTTATTGAGTGAATGAATATGCAGATCCAGGGTTTCAGAAGGCTTTTTGAGTGCTGTTCGGCTTTCTGGAAGGGTCTCTGAGGTGTTTCTGAAGCTGTATGCATTTCTGCGTACAGAAATGGAGGTGTGAGGAGTTGGGTGCAGAACACAGGATAGAGTGGGCTCTGCCGGCCACCTGCGCCCCGCACCACCGGAGGGGTTCCTGACTCCCTGACCCCGGCAAGACCAGTCAGACCTATGCTCCCAGCATCCCTCTGCAACAAAGAACATGTAGTTACTGGGAATTGCCCCTTACTCGTTTGACCTTCTTGCTTGGCAGTCACAGAAAACGTATGTGAAACAGGCAGTTTTGGTATGAGGTGTCTGAAGGAAAGGAAGGGGAAAGATGTGACGCAGCTGACTCTGTTTCTTCCGACAAACAAAACTGTCCCTTTAGCGTGCCGGCCTCGCTTTAACCGGGTTTCTCTGGGGGGTGAGGGCAGGTGAAACCCCGGATGGCAGAACGTGTCCCCCACAGGTGCAGCTGGGGCAGAGAAGCCTTGGTGAATGGAGACTCCTGACACCCCAGACTGCCACTGCCAACCGCTCAAGGTCACAGATAACTTAGGGACTGCCTGTGCACTGTAGGAAACCTAAACACGTGGCTGTGATCAGTCTGAGAAGCCGACGAGATAAATGGCGATTTGGAACCGAGGTGGTCTCATTTTAATGTGGTCACTTTGCAAGCACTTTTGTGTTAGAGCCACAGGAAGAAATTGGTTTGTACTCAACGCTTCCGTGACATCTCAAAAGGCCTAGTTTGGGCTACAGAGTTTACCGTAACCTGTCAGGGTTTCATCTCTGGTGTCCCTTCACCTTGGCTCAGAAACTCCTGGATGAGAGCGCTGTGGAGAGACAGGCTCGGAGCGGTTTGGCACAGAGCTTCCCAGCTTCCGGTCTGGGCAGGGCCGTGGGACGGGGGACTGGGCCAGCAGAGGTGAGGATAGGCATTATGCCATAGGCCGGGACCGAGCTTAGCTGGCCCCAGAACGCTCCCTGCCTGAGTGGAGTTTGGTCCATGGGGTTACACTTAGGGAAGACAAAAGGTCTCAGCAAACATGGAAGATACGAGAAGGCTCACCTCTGCCACGGAGCTGCCCTAGGTGGCCGTATTGTTTGGGTGGATGCCAGCTTTGCTAGCATGTCCTCATGGAAAGGGCACCAAGGACAAGACATTCCTGCAAGTCTCAGGTTTTACAGAACTGTGCCTTAAGTGCCACAAAAAATTCTGCCCCCTTCCAAAATCAAGCTTTCTGGCAGTAGCCACGTGGAAAAGGCTTCTTCCTCCACAGGTTCACCGTGTAGGGTAGCGCCAGCCCTGAGTCCCAGCAGCTTCTAGGTCCGCGCATGCCAGGCTCTGCTGCCGGGCGAGAAAGAACAGAGAGGAAGTTGTGTACAAAGGACCATTTTTGGAAAGTTTTTATTGCAGATTCTACTCTGTGCATTTGATTTTTGAGAGAAAACACTGGAAATGGATCTTCCCTGAGCAGAAGAATACAAATGACAGCAAGACACATCTTAGTTGCTGCTAAAGAGCAGAATTCTTTTCCATTAGCACTTTAAGCCACCGTCATTCAAGCAAAGTAATAGCAGGTTCAGGTGTGATCTTGCAGAGGGTTAAGAAAGAGTCCCATTCCTCCAAGGAAACAGCACGCTCAAACTCGGATGCAGCCATGGGATTTCTGAGCACCCCTCTCTTGCCGCTCGAGGGCCAGGCAGGAAGCTGCCCGTTGTGAAGACAGGTGGCAGGCTGGGTCCCTGGTCCCACTGGGCACTCCCAGCTGGTTCTACTTGGGGCCAGAGAAGGGAGTGAAGGCCTTGTCCCTGCCTGCCATGCACGCTTCAATCTCCTCCACCGTGCGGGGCACACAGGTCAGCAGTTCCATGCCGCTGGCGGTCACCACGACATCCTCCTCGATCCGGACCTGCGTCACAATGACAGACATTCATGCGGGCGCTTGGGGGGCTCAGTGGGTTGAGTGCCTGACTCTTGGGTGTCGGCTCAGGTCATGATCTCATGGGCCCTGGGATCGAGCCCTATGTCGGGCTCCACGCTCAACAGGAAGTCTGCTTGAGATTCTCTCCCTGCCTCTGACCGACCCTGCCCCTACTCAGACGCCATCTAAAAAGAAAAACTCTGGAAAAAAAAAAAAAGAACAACAGACACTCTCATTCCTTCTGAGCTCTGGCCTCACACACTAGATTAGAGGGTCAGACCAGCCGCTGGTTAGAGGCGTCCCTTCTGAAGAGCGGCCTGTCCTGCCCGGGATAAAAGGGGCTGGCCTCCAGGCCTCTGCGGGAGGCCGGTGAGAAGCAGGCTCCTCCCCCGGGGCCATCTGTTTGCCCGGTGGGCGGCCCCGGCGTGGGCGGGGGGAGGGTTTGTAGAATCTGCATCTGTCTTGTTGACCGACCACGGGAAGGCACAAGCCGGATCCTTCTCAAGAGGGGAAGTGAAGTGTCCGCCCTCCCACCAGGGCTCTTGTCTCAAGACGATGGGGTGACGCGCCGTAGCGTGCGCGTGCGGGTGTCCTGGGAGACGGGACGCGGGGCCTGTGGGCACTCACCCCGCCGAATCCCCGGAAGCGCTGCAGGACCTCGCGGTTGAAGAAGCAGGCGCGGGCCGGGTCGGCCAGGGCCTCGTCCAGGAGGTGGTCGATGAAGTAAATGCCCGGCTCCACAGTGAGCACCATGCCGGGCTCCAGGTGTCGTGTGGTGCGCAGGCTCCGCAGGCCGGGCTCATCGATGCGCTCCACACCCTGCGGGGAGAGGAAGGGCTCAGAGCATCAAAGCGTGGAGGGAGGGCTGAGTGCCGCGGCGGCAGTCGGATGGCCACAGGCCCGCCGGGTGAGCCCTCCCTGCATCCAGGAGCGCTGGCGCTGGCCCCAGGGGCTGTGGAGACCCTCCCCTCTCGCAGATACCCCTGGGCTTGGCCGGTTCCTGCCCCCTTATTACCCCCAGCATGACTACGAAGCCCCACGGACCCCCACGTGCACAGACCTGGAGCGAGCTGCCCTAGCCCGCTGGCCTCCCCCAGGCCCCGTCCCCGCTAGACAGATGGCAGAACCAAAAAGCTCTTAAGGAAGCTTCAACACTTCCCATGCTGGGTCCCACTCCCCCAGGATGAGACCCAGGTTTTCCGTGGGGCCTTCCAGGAGGAGGGACAGGTGCTGTCCCCAGGGCCGGCCTGCCAGCGCCAGTGGTTGTGGACATGCACGGATGCATGCGGAGCCCGTGTGCGTGGCCCCGGGGCTGAGGCTCCAACGAGGCTCCGACCCGGCCCCCCGCCCAGGCCCCTGAGCTAGTGGGCAGCTAGTAGCCTTCCTGGTCGGGCTGGGAGCCTGCCCTGCCCCACTCACAGCTCCCCCCTGGAAGCCCAGCTGCTGGAGACAGAGCTGTCATTTCTGACTGTTTGGGGGCCAAGAACATCAGACTTCAATTAGCGGTTCATGTAAGGTAACCAGAAACAGGCTGGCTCGGCCTCCGCTGCTGGGCACAGCAGGGAAGCCTGTGACCGGGATTCCGTGAGGGTGGGGATGGCGGGACACACAGGGGAACTCGTGCACAACCACCCTGACCTGGCGTGAGCTGGGCTGGGATGGAGAAGAGGAGGGGACACCAAGGCACCGTGACCCCTGATGCCTCCTGCTTTGGGCACAGATGCCTGTGTGGAGTAGCACCCGACCCCGTGACACTTTCTGCCCACAGGGGCGAGGCCGGAGGACTGGGGATGCATCCCTGGGCTCAGAGGGGAGATGCTGTGGGGCTGGCTAGCGGCCTTCGGCCATCTCAAGTCTGTGCCTGTCCCTTTCCTTCCATCCCAAGGTCGTCAGAGCCAGGGGCCCAGCAGAGGCAGCAAACCAGTAGGCTCAGGTCTCCCTGCTCCCCCTTAGCCTCTGTGGGCGTGCCCAGGGGAGGGCGGTCTGCTCAGGCTTGGGCAGAAACAAGTCCTCTGGAAATTTCAGGACCAGCCCTCCAATTGTGGGTGAGGGGAGAGAAGGAGGGGCCCCTGCCACAGCCCACCAACCCTTATCCCTTCAGAGCATTAGCTCCCAGGAGTCTCCTGCCACGGAGGCCACCCGAGCAGGCCCTGGCAAAGTGTCGGGGGCTGCGCTGTGGAGAGCAGCCCCCCCAAGGGGAGAGGCCGAGCTTCCTTCCCTCCAGCTCCAGGCCGTAAGCCCTGGCGGCAGTGGGGGACGCCTGCCCGTGGCCCGTCCACACCAGCTTCCGCCAGGGCAGCGGGCCGGACGGGGCCCCTGCCTTTACAGGGCGGAGGAGACCCAGATGTGTCTGAAGGCCTGAAATAAAACAAATGACTTTTATAGGAAAAGCCATATTTTTTCTACAGTGTTTATCTGTCAGAAGAATAGACTCTGCGAGCACAAAGGGCCGCTTACTGGAAAAGAGAAAACAGTTTGCTGCCAATTTACTCTGGTGGAAAAAAGCGCTCTGGCGACTAATGAATAACGAATCTCAGTTAACAATGTCTGGAAGGCCCTGCTCTTGGCTCCCTGTACACAATGTGATGGATAGAAATTAGGAAATTAAAACTGATTTTGTTTCTCCAAATTTAACTGTTTACACTTGAGGAAAAAATAATTGAATAATAATGCTTCTCTTGAGCAATTTCCCCCCCCCAAAATCATCCTTCGTGCTTTCAAAATACCCTGCAGCCAACAGGCCCGGCCTAGTCTTGGCTAACCGGCTGGTGGGCCCCAGGGCGTGCACCGATTGCATAATCAGCCCCCTGCACCTTGGGCTCGGGGCCAGGAGGCAGGGCCGGGCTCACCCCCACCCACCCGGGGCCCGGAAAGGCTGCAGCCACCTGCCGGGCAGGGCCTCCCCAAGGCTGGCTGAAAGCACCCTCTGGGTGGTCCTTTCAAGAATCCGTGGGTAGGAAGGGGAGGGGAAAGCCTTGTCTGGAAATGCCCACAGAAGCCTCCCTCCCCTGCTAAGGGGGCCTGGGGGGCCTGCAGACCAGGAGGCCACGGGGCTGTGCTGTGCTGGGGTTGCTGCCAGCCTGTGAGCGGCGCTGGGCTCTGCTTGTCCCAAGAGGGACCTGGATCAGCCGCCTCGTGGCAGCGCCTCACCGCCCTGGCCTGTGTGAAGCAAGAGGCAGGACACGATGGCTGCGGCATCCCGAAGACCCCGCTCTGGGGTTCCCACTGCTCTGTGGGAACCAAAGATCTACCACCCCGTAGGGCAGGGGCTCCCCACCCTGTGCATAGCCCGGGGCTCACCAGGCAGAGCACACATATCTGCCACCAGGCCCCGAGGCGGGGGCCACCAGAGGCAGCATGCTGGCACACTTTTGGAAACGCCCCTCACCCCCACCCCCGCTGGTGCCCACAGCAGCCCAGGGCCGGCACAAAGCAATGGGTGCAAGGAGAGGAGGGGCAGGGGGTGCTCTGGGACCCCATTTCTCTTTCTCTGACCTTACTCCATCCCAGCTGGCTCCCAGAGCCCTGGGGAGGGCCACTCACACTCACATGCCCACACTTACCTCGGGGTAGCCTCCCACATCGTGCACATCAATGCCCAGGAAGTGGCCGAGCCCGTGAGGCATGAACACGGCTCCCAGGTGGGCCTGGACCATGGCGTCAATGCTGCCGCTCAGGAGGCCGATGCGCGCCAGCTCCTCCAGGTGGATGCGGTCGGCCAGACGGTGCATGTCGGGCCACCAGACCCCTGTGGCTCCAAAGGAGGCTATGATGAGCTGTGGAGCGTGGCCGCCTGGCCGAGGCTCCCCGAGGGAAGGTTTGTGGGACCCACGAAGCCACCGGGCAAGCTGAGGCGGGAGGGCTAGAAGTGGGTGGCGCAGGTGCCGTGCCCGGGCCAACTCTAAGGGATCTCAAGACCTTCCTCTCTTTCCATCGCATCTTCAGGGGTAGGCTTCTGTTGCCCACGGCCAGATGCCCAGCTTAGGTCTCATCCCCAGCCCACGCTATGTCTGCCCTCGGCCAGTGTGGGCTTCCGGGACCAGGGGAGCCCAGGAAGATCCCTGATGAGCAGCAGCAGGACAAAAGCAACTGTCCCCAGCAAATGGGGGGCAGCCTCACAGAACCCCACACCAAGCTCAGGGCATCCCTGCACACCCCAAAGTGGGGCTGATTCACCCCTGGAGCCACTGGGGAAAAAAGGTTTCCAGGGTGAAGGTGCAGCTGGCACGGCTTGGCTGGCAGAGGTCTGCGGCCTTGCCCGCTACGAGCAGGGGTGGACCATCTCCGTGGCAGCCCAGACACCCAGGCCCCAGACTCCTGATCAAACTCATCTTTGTCCCATGTTTCTGAGGCAAAGGTCACCGTGGAGAGCACGTCCCCAGGCACCGAGTTTCGGGGTGAGCAAGCTCCAGAGGCTCCGCCCAGGGCTCTCAGCCGCCTGCAAAGAGCCCATGGGGCTGGGGAGTCCCCACCTTCAGCCTCACTCTGAGGCAACTGGGCACTCGGCCTAAGCACCCCACAAGGATGGAGGCCAGCGAAGCTCCCTGCCCCACCCCGCCGGGCTGAGTTTGGGGCAGCCACGTGCCGGCTGAGGCCAGTGTGCCAGGCAGACAAGGTGGGGGCACACACCCCTGTGCAGTGCTCCAGCCAGAAAGGCCAGGGCCGGCCCTCGGGGGCGAGCCTGGCTCCCAGAAGGCATCCCCACGACGCCCTGCCATCCACACCCTCCACACGCCTCACGACGGATGACGGATGATGGAGCACCCCAGCATTCCACACCATCGGGGGCCTGGCTGGGCCCTGTGCTGGCAAGGGCTGGGCCGGCAGGGCTGGGCTCAGGATTCTGAAACTCTGTGGCTGGCAGGGGGTAGCCCAAGGGCTCTATCCAGGAGGAGAGAGAGATGAGAGCCCACTTGGGGGCATGGCCCCTCAGACATGCACTGGGTTCCAGGCCTCCAGGTGGGCCCCTTCCACACCAGGGCAGAGGCCCCACAGTTGGGGTCTTGGGCTGGACAGAGGCACAGAGCTGACCCAGCCTCCCCAGGGTCTGAGCAGGAGGCTCACTCTGGGGGCAGTGGCCAGCTCCTGGCCACAGGCACAGGGAGGCCGAGAGGAGAAGACCCATCTCTAGAGAGAGCTTCCTTGGAGACCAGCTCCTGAGTCCTGTTCTGTTCTACATGCCAAGGGCCACAGGGCGCCATGGAGGAGGTGGCATCCCGGGCTCTGGCTTTACCCGCACGCACAGCGGAGAGCCCGGTTCTAAGCTCTGGAGGCAGAGCCAGGTGCGAGGCTCTGGGACGGTTGGGCATCCTCAAGTGGAAAGCTGGGCACTGGATCCCAGCTCAGCAGCCCGCCCGCCTCCCTGAGCCTCAGATGCCTCTCTTTGTCACGAAGAGCTGCGATACTGTCCCTAGAAAGCCAGCTGCAGAGGCTCTGGCCTGTACCAGGAGTCAGTAGCCCCCCGAGAATGTCACTGGCCCACCCAGATGCCCGTTCAACCCTTGATGTTGGCCGTGCTCCTGGGGCACCAGCCTGAGCCTTGTGTCCTTGCTCCTCCCTGAGGCCAACCGGGCCTACCTCGCCATTCCCAGGCCAGGCCACCTGTCACAGAAGCACACGGAGGCCTGAATCAGCCCCCTGCCTGCAACTCAGGCCCTGGGGCTCGGTCAGCACTCCCTCCCCACGGTCCCGGTTATGCCCCTCCCTGCACCCTGTCCTCCAGCCGGGCTTCTCCTCTCGGACCAGAGGGCTGCTGCCTCCCCTGGGCACCCCAGGCCCGGCCTAGCAAATGCTGGTTCAAGGGAGAATACAGCAGGCTCGTCCCAAAGTTCTGCTCCTGTCCCCGGGGCTCTAGGCCGAAAAGCGCCCCAGGCAGTTCTGCAGACTTGCTCCTGGCTGGCCTGGCCCCTGGGGCGGAGAAAGGGCATCCCTGGCGGCGGCTGACACCCCGGCTCCACAGCAACCCCGCTTCTCTTGGGTGGGGGCCTTTTTGGGTGGCTAGAGGGGAGCCCCAGGAAGTGGCCTGATGTAGAGCCCGGCCAACTTCCAAGTGGGCTGCGGCCTCGGCAGAGCGGGGAGTCAGGTATAAATCACACTCCATGCCGGCAGCTCGGCTCCTCTCCTGTCCTCCTGGGGCCGGACGCGAGGGCCCCAGGCGGTCCCCACGGCGCCTCCCATCCTCCTGGCCTGCGCTCCTCGGGGCCGGTCTTGCACACGGGCTCGTGGCTGGCAGGGGGCTGCTGCCTGTGTGTGGTTAGGGTTGTGACAGTGATTCAACCTCCAGCAACTTGGCCCCAGCGTCTGGCCCGGATGCTGGTTACGACACCCTGGGCCAGGGCAGGGGCCCTGAAGTGTGTGAAGGTTGCTGTCCTTGGGCTAGGCTGGAGGAGTGGATGCGCTCCCCGCCCCCCCGCCCCCCCGCCCCCCGCCACCGAGCCCTCCGTCAGCAGCCAGCAGGCACCTCGGGGCCCACGTGGCCAGCCGGCCGGAAGGCCCGGTGGTCCCCTCAGGCCGCTCGTACTGGGGATGGACGCCACACTGGGGAGCACACTGCAGACTGGGCGTCACCAGCCCTGCCCGCCCTCCTGCCTCCAGCAAGCACCGAAGCTTGTCGCCTTTGCCCTGGACATCTCCTGAATCTGACTCCTGACCCCTGTGCGCCTCTTGCTGCTTTCCTGCAATGCCTCGCTCCCCTTGCATTCTGCACGAAGCTGGGCCCTGCCCTGTGGACAGAACCCCAAGTTCCTCAGCCTGGCCTCCCTCTCACCCGCCCCTGTGCCCCCAGCCCCGGTGGTGCTGGCACTGCCCTATGCCTTCCACCTAATGGCCCCTTAGCTGGGACCACCTCGCCAAAGCCCCACCCTGCCCATGCTCACTCCCATTCTTCTTGTGGGCCTCTGTTAAGGCTTTCTCCAGGAAGCCCTCCCTGACTGCCCCTTCCTGTGCTGTCAGAGCTCTTCCCGCCAGAGGATGGCATATAGGCCCCGCTGTGGCCTGGTCAAAGCCTGCGCGCTCAGAGAGGAGGGACCCTCTCCATCCCAGCTGGCTCCATCCAGCTGGGTGGAGGTCCTGCTCCGTGCCTGACCAACGGCAGCCTGAGGAGGAGCCCTGGCTGCAGCCGGTGCTGTCACCTCAGGGGCCCGGGATCTGTGCGCCCCCGCCCCTCTGCACACTCAGACCCCAGGGTGCCAGCCTAGCAGCTGGGTTTGTGCCTCCCACCCTCTATCTGGCTGTGGGCTCTGAGGGACCAGATCCCTGGTGCCCAGGCCCCAGTGTATGCCCAGAACAGCCCCAGGCCATAGCTGGTCTTCTATGCCCCTGATGCCCCTGAGGCGACACTGTCACCCGACGGGGCCCAGGCCCAGGCCCAGGCTGGCTCCTTGGAGCCTTGGTGGCTGAGGCCTCCTGCCCAGAGTGCTGCAGACTCAGGGGCTCGGGCCTGAGCTCGGCCAGGAGGGCCCGCAGAGCTGAAGCCTCATGATCCAGACAAAGAGCTCACTTCATCCAAAGACAACGGCCCTCAGGAGACCCTGCGTGCGCCAGGCTCTGGGGGTGTCGCAAGCGAGGCGCGGGGCCGGGTCCCGGGGCAGGCCGTGGGCTGCAGGGAGCTGTCTGGTAGGCCAAGCTGGCGCGGGGCTGAGGGCCTCCAGCCACCAACCCCCCCAGACCCCTCTGCTGCCAGGACCTCCGGGGACCCATTCACCCTGCAGGAAGGGCAGGGGGCAGTGTGCGGCCCGGACTGCAGGCGCCTCCGCGCTAAGCAGAGCGTGGCCGCTCCTGAAGCCTGTGTGCCACACCCCCCCTCCCGCCGCAAAGAGCCCAAAGGAGTAAAGAAGGCCGGGGAGGGTGGGAACTTGCCCACCACCCTACAGCCAGCAGGGAGGGGGCTCTCAGGGCAACAGGGCCACACGGGGGCCCTCACCAGTCAGCCCTCCCTGCCCTGACTCCTGCCACAGAGGAAGCCCACCCGGCGCTGTCCCCGCACCTCCGTCTGCCGCACCCCTGCATGCGTCGCCATCTCTAAGGAGAGGCTCCAGGAGAGTGCGGCCACTCCAGCCCGTCGGGAGGCAAAGCTGGCAGAGGCACCCCCACCACAGGCCATGGCAGACATGTGCGGGGCCACAGGGGCACCTCCTTCTCTCCTCACATTGGCTGCACCTCCCTCCATGCAGGTGACCGGGACCCTAACCACTGCAGAGCAGGGAGAGGAGGGAGCTGTGCACGCCTGCTCACTGGAGTGAGGGAGCGATGGGGGGCTTGTTTGCATAGACAGAGACTCCCCCACCGCTTTCGCAGCTTTCGCAGCCCAGGAGCGGTGGGGCCCTGAGCCCAGGATGCACTCCACACCCTCTCTGCAGGGCCCCGGTGGGGGTGTGGGGTCAGGGGTGGGGCTTGGGGGGGGCCTGTGGCCTAAGCGCAGGAGGCCAGGGTGGGCAGGTGAGCCCAGAGAGAGAGGGGCGTCTGGCAAGTGGGAGGCAAGGCTGCGGGGGGCCTGGGGACTTCAGTCGCCCTGACTGCTCCGCGGTGGCGGGAGGCACAGAGGCTACAGAATGGCCCCACGGCAGCGGCCCATGGACACCCTTCTCTGAGGTGCTCCTGCTGGGATCACCCAGGCCTCCCTCGCAGGGGCTGAGCGGTCCCTGTGGCACACCCACTGGTCTGTCCCAGGTGGGCGGCCGGGCCTGACACAGAACCCAGGGAGAGCTCGATTCCAGAAGGCAGCATGAGGCCCCTCCTGCGGGGCGGCCAGGCGTGGGGGTGGCGTTCTCCGGGATGCCGTGCTCTCAAACCCTGTGCAGCCCCTCTCCGTGAGCTCAGCCACCCTTCCCTGGCTGTCTGGGGGACAGGGAGGAGCACCCCCCTGCCCCCTGATCCCGGGTTCCATGTGCGCTGCAGTCGTGCTGTGTGGCTCCTCTGGGCACTAGCTGCGCCCCGGCTGTCCACTCGCTGTCCCCTGCGAGGCTGCAGGAAGCAGTCGTGCAGTCTCTGTGTGTGTGTGTGTCTTGGCCTAGCAGCTGAACCCACAAACCAGGGGCATTTCCGCTAGCACAGGACATGGGGCTGACCTGGCCACGGCCTCCTTGCAGCTCTGGGGAGGTGACCTGTCCCCATGGGAGCAGCCCTGCTTGACCGGTGCCACATGGGACCCAACAGGGTCAGCCCTGGGGAAGTGCCGGTGGGATGGTCAGCGCGTCACAACCCCCAGCCCTGGTAGGAGAGGAAGCTAAGGCCCCAGTACAGGCCCGGCCTGTGCCCCACTGTGTGCTGGCGGAGGCCCCCCTCATGCAGTGTATCGAGACGGGCTCAGCTGAGCACAGCCTGGCCCGGCCTGAGGCCTTCTGCCTGTCCCGAGAGTGCCCGGGGGAGTGTGGGGTCAGAGCACCAGGCCCTTCTCAGGCAACTGGGGCCCTGTGGACTACCACTGTGCCACTCTCTGGGCAGAATCGGGGCTGCCCTGTCAGTTGGCCAGGACAGCGGCTGGGGAAGTGCTACCCACGTCCCAGCAGACTTTCCTGTGGATGGGTGGGCAGGTGGGGATAGGCCAGCCTGGGCCCTCACCCCCGTCTCAGCCCCGGGCAGAGGCTAAGCAGGGCCAGGGGCCTGAACCCCGGAGCTCCGAGCTGAACAAAGAGACCGCCTTTCCGAAGCTCCGCCTGCCATCCCTCCAACCCTTGCCCTCCCTCCCCAGCATCAGGCACCGGTTGGCCTGACTCTGCCTGCCTGGCTCTTGAGTGTGGACCTGGTCGCCCGCCAGCCCTCCCTCACTGAGCTGCAGCCCACCCCACCACCTCCTCGAGGGACCCAGCATGGGGGGTCGGGGCACAGGGCCCCTCACGGGCTCACAGACAGCAGATCCTGGCTCCGACCTCAGAGGGCGGGGGCGCCAGGCCTTCCAACTCTTGGCCTGGACTCCAGAACATCTAAATTCACAACTGCTCCTGCTGCAGGCCACGGGGTGGAGGGAGACACTAGGGAGCGCCCCACAGCACTGGGCTGTGGCATAGAGAGAGTGAAGAGAGCAGGGAGGGTCATGGCCCCCGGGTGACTGGAGACGGTGTCTCCAGGCAGGACTTCACTGGAACAGGGGATGCCTCCCGGGTTTAAAGGTCAGACCCCCTCTCCCCCTGCCCATGGGGGGGGGCCCCAGCCCATTCCTTCCAGCGCCCTTCCTGCACCTCCCCCACAGGGGAACCGGCCACCCCATCCCATGCTCTTCTGCCTCCATGCAGCAAGCGTCTGGAAGGTTCCCTGTGTTTGTGCTCCTGGGCTGACTAGGCTTCTTAAACAAATGATGAACACAAGATCCCCTTTCCTTCTGCAACCACCAAACCACCCAAGTCCTGTCACCTTGTCACCCCAGCAGGGGCTTAACTTGCAGGTTTTCCATTCTTGTCTTCCCTTGGGGGCCGAGTTCCCCAGCCCGAGACTCCCCTGACCAACAAGCTCTGCCTGGACCAGTGAGGGTGCCAGGAGGGGCCTGGGTCCACCAGTATCGCTCCACGGCTCCCCAGCCTCGGCTGGGGGCCCGGAGGCCAGACTGGGCCCATCTGGAAAGGCTGCTCAGGGTGCCTCTCAAACTGATACCCTCTCAAACCCAGCCTCCTGAGGCTGTGACTCCTCCCAACACCTGGCCTGGGGGTCCCGGAGTTCTTTAGCCAACACACAACCCCCAGGCTTGAGAGGCCACAGTCTTGGGACCTTCCTTTCTTAAGGAAGGGGTCTATGACGGGATGCCGGGCTGACTGCACGGTCCCTCTGATTTCAGAACGAGCTCGGATCCCAGCCTTCGAGGATGTCATGGTCAGGCCCCCGGAGGGCCCTGCGGCAGCCACCCACCATTTCCTGAGCACCGCGAGACCAGAGGCAGCCCAAACCAACAGGCACCCCAACACCCAGCCAAATGTTGGTGTTGGCATCTGCCGGTCAAGCTGTCTCTGGAGCGGACTCTGCTCTGGGACAGGAGAGGGGACACGCTGACATCCCAGGGGCCCCTGCTCGCAGGGGTTCTTGCTGGTGGAGGGCGTCCGATGGGGTGCAGGGTGACTTCAGACCAAGCTCCCCAATTCCCAGCCTTGTCCCTCCTTGGTGGTCAACCCCTTTCCCAGCGCTGCTCCTGGGGCTCCGACACCATGGGGCGTCTCAGCCGGTTTAGCCCGTGAAGGGGGACGGATTCAGGCTGTGGAGGGCCCGCCCCATGACCACCAGCGTCCTCACCTGGCTTCATGGCGCTCATGACGGCTCGGCAGCTCCGCAGCACTGCCTCATAGATGGCCTTCTGGTCTGCGGTGAACTTGCCATTGGCTGGGAAGGAGCACGTGATGTCAGAGGAGAAGCAGTAATACTCTCCACCCATGTCGAACAGGCTGCGGGGAGAGGAGGCTGTGAGGCCGGGACGCCCCCTGCCCAGACCCTTGCCCACAGGGCCCCGCGGGTGTCAGGGTGCCGAGCCCCAGCCACCCTGCCACATCGCTGGTGCACCAGCAGTACGGGGCCTCCCCCTGCTGCTGTGTCCTCACGATGTTTGCTCAGGAGTCCTCTGACCGCAGAGCAGGGAAGCCCAGAGGGAGTGGGGCCGACCCGCACACACTCCCCTGTCCTCCCCGGCCTCTGCTGGCCAGCATCTGGATGCCCAGCGGGGGGCCTCACTTGGAGAATGAGGGAGGGGCAGAAATGTCCCCAGGCCCTAACTCACCACCTGGCCTCCACCTGAGCATCCCCACAGACCCTCCCGGGACTTCTCGGCCCCAGCACTGCTCACAGGACCCAGGCAGGGGCCTTGGGATGGAGGCACCCACCCGGCTGGCAAGGTGGGCCAAGTCACACCACCCAGCTCTCCTGGGGCCCAGGGTGTGAGTGAAAACTCCGCCAATGGCTCTGTTCCAGCACCAAGGGCCCCCTGAGCAGAGGGTGTCCTTCTCCCTGTTGGGATGGGCCAGATGTGCTCTACCACGGCCGAGGTCAGGTCCGGGACAACAGAGCAGATGGCAGTCCCCATGTCCTACAGGGCAGCCCCTGCATCCCCAGGAGTGGAGAGGAGGAAGGCTAGGAGGCCCCAGGCCGGGGTCTGAGAGCCAGCAGAGGTAAGCTGCAAGTCACGAGGGTGGCACAGCGCACCTGGCTGCCAGACCCCCTGTGCCAGTACCCAGTGTGGTGGCGCTAGTAGGGAGCAGCATGGGTCTCTCCACTGCCTTTGCTGCCTGCCCGTGCGCACAGGCCCAGGAGCCGGGGCCTCAGCATCCTCAGCGGTCAAGGGCAGGAAAGAATCCTCCTCCTGCACTCTGTGTGCTGGGATGCGACAGGATCCGTGAATGGCTGCTGGGTCACCATGCTGACGGGACCCAAATGAGAGCAGGAGAGGTGTACAGGCGGAGCAGTCCCCCCACCCTGTCCCCTGTCCCCCGTCCCCCCGAGCATCTCAGCAGGCCGCTTGCCAGCAAGCATACTGAGGGGGCCCTCCAGCACCCTCGGCCCCTTCATCAGCCAAGCATGACGCCGATGGAGACAAAGCCAGCTGAGGGACAGCAGTCCAGCCCCCGCCCGGGATATTCTGCTGCGTCCCCAGCGCCAGGTGACCAGAGTCGGGTGGAGCCGAGGGGTGGGGCTGCCCTCTGCCACTGTGCCCTGCCCTGTCCTCCGTCTGCAGCTGCACAGATCCTGGCAAACCTGAGCCCAGGGCAGGGCTGTGCTCTCCCCCAAACGCAAATCCTTGTGGTGAGCTCAGCGGCTCGACCAACATCCCAGGGGCCGCCCGAGCGCCTGCCTTTGGGGCCCTGACCCCGGACGACAGAATAGGGGGTCCTGGCTCCCACCTGTGGAGGAGTAGGGCCTGACAGGCAGCACCGGCTACTCCAAAGAGACAGAGTTTTAAAGGAAAAACTTGAATGCTCAGGACCCCCAGACACTCTGCTGGAATCCAAAGTCCCCTGCCGAGCGAGCGCTTTTTAATCTCCTGTCTTTTTCCAGTTGCAAAACACCATAAACAGTGTCAACAGAGCAAAAAGCACCAGATAACACCTCAGGTGATTCTCAGGGGGTGGAGAGAGGGCCCCAACGAGTACGGCACGAGAACTCCAGGCCAGGTCAAAGTCACAGACTCTAGGGGACCCTGCCTGGAGCAGGCTCGTGGGGGGACTCAGACCTCACTGGGGGTGACCCGAAGACAAGACAGAGAGGCCTTGAACAGACACGCCTGGGGGGCTCCAGACACAACAGGGGGTTCGGGCCAATAGCTGCGTGCAGACTGACTGCTGTGGGGGGCACTCTTGCCCCCCCAGAGCTGGCCAGGAGGGCGGCGCGCATCTCAGCCCTAACCTGCAGAGAGCGTGAGGCTCTGAACACGGCCCGGCAAAGCCCCGTGTGGGGGGTGTCGGCAGCTCAGAGCCCAGCGACGGGCCCTCCCGTTCTGACTCCAGCACTGGGCCCCCTGGGCCTCAGCACTTCTCCCTTTAAGCAAGGGACACCACCGCCACCGTGTCCTCTCGGGGCCGGCATGTAGGCAGGTGTGGGGAGTGGATCTGTATGGGGCCATGGCCCAGTTCCACACTGGGAGTGGAGCATTCCCATTTGTCCCGCCACCCCAAGGCAACAAAGGAACCTGATTTGTGGTTTGATTCAGAACATCCGAGAATGGTCTGAGCAGACAGGACGCAGCTGGGGGCTGGGGCGACACAGACTTGTGGGGCCCACCCCACCGGGGGGCAACCTGCAGCGGCACCCCTGAGGCAGACGGCTGGACTGTGCTGATCTCAGAGAAAAACAGAACTGCAACTATTTAAGAAACGAGGAAGCCCAGAGCACGCTGAAGTCTGGAGTCACGGAGAGCAGCGGAGACAAGAGCTTCTCTGGGGCAGACGAGACTGGGGCCCGAGTGCTCCGGACACGCTTCTCAAAAACACGGCGAGAATGTGGGTCGCGGTGCCGGGGGCCCCTCGGCCGGCCTGGCCTTACTGTTCAGACTCGAGAAGACCTTGCTGGGCTTTGTTGGGTGAGGCCCGCCCGCTCGTGGCAGAGGGAAGTGAGCGCCCAGGCGGCCAGTTCCATCCTGCCCAGCGCCGCTTGGGCACGGGGCTGGAGTCTATTTTCGTGATCTCAGTTCCCTATCTTTCTCTGCTTAAAAAAAAAAAAAATCCCCCTCAGAGTTCCTACACGCATAGGTTACTCAGATTCAAGGCACTCTGGAATCTAGGGACGAAAGCCGCGTCTTCCATAAATCATCTCCCTCCAGCTCCTCTGTGCCCGCTTCACCCGTCCTCCAGCACAAAGAGACAGTGGGGAATTGGGTCATCCTTTGACTCCCCTGAGCGCTCCCTCCCCCGAGCGCTCAGGGTCCCCCTCCCCCACTGCTTGGGGACACCCACCGGGCTGCTACCATCTTTGGCAGAGCGACACTATGTGATAATCTAAGACACCTGGGAGCCCTTACGCATCTCCAGGCAATACGCTGGCGTGCCTCTGCTCACATGTGTTTATCTGGTTCTATTTCTGGCCGGGATGAGAGGTTCTGTCTGCCCTTGGCTCCTCCTGGGCAGCTTCATGCCCGGGCTGCCCGCCACACTTGGCTCAGCCCGGCCCTCTCCAAGCCCCACTCAGCTCCCCGGGCCCCACCGTGGGGACCAGCCGGCCCCGGGGCAGAAGGCCTCTGAGATGGTCGGGCCAGTGATGCAGGCTTGGGCAGCATCCCGGGGAAACGCTGCTGTGCGCGTACAAGGCTCTCAGCGTTCAGTGTCTAGTCTGACTCTTTACTGTTCCGAGCTGCAGCCTTGCCCCCCATCCGCCTGTCACCCAAGCCTGGTGCTGGGCCGTGGCAGAAGAATTTCAGAATTTCAGACCTCCACTCGCCGCCGCCCCAGCCTGTGTTCCAGGGGATTTCTGAGAAGCAGGAAACTCCTGCTTCCCTCCAGACCTCAGCATGAGAGAGGAAGACGTGCTGCTCCCTTTCCCGTTCATGTCCTACAGCGGACAGCCCCTCCGGACGAGGCATGTGGCCCACCTACCCGCCCCCAGGCTGCCCTTCCGTGGGATGCCCAGGCCCCGTGGTGACCGGTGGGGCTGAGGCCGTCACTTGGAGGCCATGGGCTGACTCATCAAACAGACCTCTCTCCAGTACCTTCTCGGCATCCCTGTTCCCCACCCCAGCCCCGGGGACAGCTATTCCTCTGGGGCTCAGGCGAACAGGAAAGTTGCCCAAGTGACCAGCCCCCAGAGCCCCAGAGCCCACGAGGCCTGGGGTACAGGTTCGGGCTGGGGGCATCCTGTGTGTCTGGAGAGAAATGTGTTTCCCGTTCTACAGATGGCGTGGGGAGAAGTGGAGCGCCTGTGTGGGGCCGTGTCCCCAGGAAGGCCGTATATGACACACTGACTATCCACTCAAGCGCTCGTGCCCCTGCAGCACAGCAGACGAGGGCTGGGCATCAGGGCAGTGGCCTCTGCCGGGGAGGGCCGGAGTCGTGTCACAAGCCCGGCACATGCTTCGTTTCACTTTTTTGGTCAGCAGCGTCCCGTGATGTCTGTGAACACCCAGGCTGGACCAGCGCTTTTCATCCCGGGGGTGGTGAAGTCACTGAGTGGGGACAGGTTCTAGTCTGGTAGGTCATCCCCTGCACACGTGGGATGGGGCCTGAATGTGAGGGTGCTTTTCACTGGGACGGAAAGTGAGGGTTACGGCCACAGGTCTGGCTGTCCAGGCTAGCAGGGTCTGTGCACCCCCGAGAGTGTTCTCTTACCCTGACACCTGGGCATGTGTTTAAGATCACTGAATCCTCGGTATGGGGCTGCTGAGTGAAAGTCAAGTGTTCTTCTGAGAACAAGGGGTCAGGGGTCTGGGCTGGGCCTGGCACCAGGGATCAGGCTCTGGAAGGGACACTCGTTCTCTGAAGTCAACCAGGGCATCAGGCTCCAGGACAAGGGAGGCCTGGAGGCTCCCTCACCTTGGCCCCGCCACCAGCAGGGGGGAGCCCCCCTCAGTCCAGCCCTACCACCAGCTTGGGGGAGTGGGGTGGGTCCCAGACACAGACTCGCCCCTCCCTGGGGCTGCAGGGGACAGAAAGACAGAGCAAGTGGCTCCTGGGAACAGGCAGGACCGTCCCATCACAGCCTGCGGGATACCAAGGGAACTGCTGGGGCCCTGGGGTGAGCGGTGCCCGCCCCTCACAGCCTGCAGGCCTGGTGCATGGTGGCCTGGGACGGAGTGGGTGAGATAGGGTGGCACCCCCCAGGCAGTTAAACATCTAGTCCATGTCAAACCTGTGGAACTGAAAATGAGACAAGGGCAGGAAGGAGCGGGGGTAATGGCACTGGTGGCAGGAAGGGTGGCCAGCTAGGGAAAGAGCCTGCGTTGGCCACGACCCCTCATAGGCCTGTCCCCTCCTCTGTGGAAGGAAAGGATGGGTCAGCTTGGGGGGTGTGATGTGGCCAGCAGGGGCCACTGATGCCAGTAACAGGTCAGGTGTCTCCAGGGGCTTCCCTGGGAGGAAAGCCCATATTTCTCCGGGCAGAGAGAAGCGGGGCTGCGGTCACCGTGCACTGTGTCCCCTCTTTTGCCAGTCAGCGGGGCAAGGCAAGCGAGACAGGGCATCAGGCTGTTAACAGGGCAAGGAGAAATAGAGGCCCCCGAGCCCCAACAGGGGAGGAGAGGAGATGGGGTGAGGACAGAGCATGGGGTTGGGACAGGCATCTCCGGCTAACTGGGTGGGCTGTCCCCTCCCACGCCCCAGGGGCAGCAGGACACAGCCTCCAGCGGGGAGGAGGCCTGCCCACACATCCTGGGACAACGCTGCCCTCTTCTGGCCAGTGCTGGGACGGCCGGCTCCCACCCACGGGCCGCATCCTGCCTGCAGCTGGGCAACCCAGGCCTGGGCATCCTTAGACAGGTGCTCTAGAAGGTTCTGAGGATGACCACAAGGCATTCTACCTCAGGAACCACTCCCCCACTCCCTGATCAGACAGTGGGAGTGGGAGGCTGCAGTGGTGCAGGAGGAGTGTCCCAGCTGTCCTCCCAATCAGAACCCACTGGAGGCACACCCTGGACCCCTCCTGACTCTGCCCCTGGGATGATGCTGCTGAGGGTCCCGGGACACGGGAGTGCTGCAAAGGCCCCCCTCAGACCCAGTGGAACACAAGGGAGGATCCGACTCTGGGTGCCCGGCTTCCCAGTGGATTTGAACATGGACAGTGGCGCTCCCTGGTGGCCATGGGTGGCATACCAGCCCCCTGGCACTTCCATCTGCCTTGGGGACTCTGGTTTTCAAAGCCCGGGCTGTCTGTGCGAAGCCAGGGCAGCCCATGGGCGCCACGTCTGTCTTCACAACATCCATGCTCACGGCCACCTGGCTGGAGCTGATATGGTGGGGAGGGGTCTTCCCGGGCTCCCACCCAGAAAGGGAGTCCAGGGCCAGAAGCCACCATCCTTTGGGCGAGCACATGAAGAGCACATGTTAGCAGGAGTTCCCGGCTCCTGCTGCCCTATCTGATGAGGTCTACACTGCCCCAAATGCCAGAACACAAAGCAACTAATGGCTTCTCTAGGACTGTTGCTGGGAGCCGGTTCCTGGAGAACCCGTGAAAGGGCTCTGAGAGCCAGGGGAAAAGGTCCAAGGGGCCCCCCAAGAGGCCTCATGGCTCTGAGGGAGCTGAGTGCGAGACCCCCAGGGATCTGAAGCTACATCAAAGTCTGGGTCCCTACCTGTGCTTCACACAGAGCAAGTGGGGCTGATCTAGCAGAGAGACATGGGAAGGGGTCCCTGGAGCGGGCACGGTGGGCCAAGTGGTCCTCGTTGCCCAGCCCCAGGCGACAAGGCGGATGTGGCGGGCGGAGCAGCCCGCCTAACCCAGAAGGCCTGTTCCCAGGCCACGACTGAGGCCGACAGCAGCCTCGGCCCGGCTGGTCCCTGAGGAACAGGGGCATGGTGGGGTGGGCTGGCCTCACGCCCCACCAGGCACTCACCCAGAGGACAGCGCGGCACTGGAAACACAGTACAGGCTCGAGAGCTACCTGCCTCAGGCTCTGCGGAGCCTCTCCCCACCAGTCTGTCATGGAACCCGCTGCTGGAAGGTGGGCCTCGTGGTCCCAGAGCACAGGCAGAAGGCCAGCCTGCTGGCTCCGAGGACGGTCACCACTGCCACTCTCACCCGCCAAGGCCACGCTGCGCCAGGCTCCCCACTCAATACCGCTTATTCTCACCGACTCCTCCCAGGGCTGGGTGTGCAAGGAGAAGCTGAGCCTCAGGGCACCAGCCACTCAGCCAGGGAGGGGGAGGGCAGGGGCAGGAACTAGGGACCCTCTGCGGTCATCATGACATGTCACACGGCCTGGGTTCTCTGAGGCTCCCTGTGGGGTGCTGGGGGCACGTCTGGGACTGGAGACAGAGGGACAGGAAGGCTGGCTGCCTCTCAGCCCCCACCCCCACCTTCTCCAGCAGCGCCTGACTGTCTCGGACCCTCTCTGGCCCCAAGCAGCCCCTTCCTCAACATTCAAATGTCTCTGGGGCATTTTCACCGACTTCAAGAGACTGTGTGCGACCCAGGGCCTACCAGCAGGCGGGCGCCTGGAACAGTGATGCTCTGGGAGACACTCAGCTCCAGGAAAAACTCCGCACTACGCTCCTGTTTTAGTTTCATACCTGATGATGAAGTATCGTGGCTTTTATGTTGGGATAACAGAGTGATCTATTATTTACCGAACACAGTAGGCGCGGCAGATCGATTTCAATAAAACAATGGACTATAAATGCCGCCAGCGATCTGGCAGTGGCAGTAATCAACAAAACATGTTGTTCTAAATGCCGCATAATAAATTGACTATAATAAACTCATAATTATTCTACTGGCTACATTTCAAAGTTAGCACTAGAAAAATAAAATCGCCCATTTGGACTTGGCATTCACACCCTCGGGATTCCTAGATCACTCCCGTCCCAGCTGCAAGCGGGAGACGTAGGTGCCGCCCCCAGGAGGGCCGGGGCCGCATCTGGGCCCCGTGGAAAGCTGATGTACACTGCGTCCTGGTCAGCCCAGCCCCAGCCCAGCCCCAGCCCAGCAGCGGGCAGCCTCAGGACACAGCTGTGACCAGCCTCTCAGGAGGTGAAGACCGTAGTGGGGGCAGATAAAGAGGAGCGTGGAGAAGGAGCCACTTCCTCTGGGGTGTGCCAAGCTCACAGAGGAGAAAAATCATGGCCACATGACACTGCCACAGGGCCGTCCAGGAGGCCAGAGCTGACCCTAGGACAGCTGAACCTCTCTGGTATGGCTAGGTTACTGTTTCTGCCCAGGGACTAGAGTTCCACATCCTGGGCTCCTGGCCCAGCCAGAATGAGCGGCTCAAAGGGCACTAGGAAAAGCTCCAGGACACAAAAGTCTGTGGAGACGCCAGGTGGTCTCTTTTTGGGGCCACCTGTGGCTCAGCCATGGTCCGGGGCATAGCCCTCCCCTCTCTGGCCTTGGCCTCCAGCTGAGCCAAGTTTAAGGTAGCCACCTCCCTCCCTAAATTCCTCTGACTCTGTACCTGGGCCCTCCCTGTGTCTCAGTGACCTCACCTACACGTGTGGGGGGGGTGTCCATGGGTGGGGACAGGGTAGATGTCCCTGGGGCCAGGCACTGGGGAAGTCCTGTCAGGGTTTCCACACACCCCTTGGCCCCTATACCAAGAAGGACCTGAGCCACTCTGGGAGGGATTCAGCCGCTTCAGGTGTCCACCTGTGTATGCTCCCACCCCTGCTCTGCTGGCCCAGGGCCCCGGGAAAGGGCACATGAGCTCGTCCCTGCCTTTCTGACATATTACTTCAGCCCCTTCCTGCTGTTCTGAGAGCCATGTGCTGGCTCCACTGACAGAAAAGTAAACTGAGGCTCCGAGAGGGAAATCAGTGGCTTTGTTTCCTCCCAGGAAGCTGAGCTAGGCTCTGGCCTACAGCAGTCCCAGCCGGAACAGCCCGTCCCGCTACTGACCCCGGGTGAGTGCAGAGCCCGCAGCCAGCCATGGAGCCCGGTGTGCTCTGTGGCAGGGACGGAACTCCCAGGGTTGGGTAGATGTCTGAAAACACTTAGCAGGGACAGCCCAGAACAAGGCTCACACCCCCAAGTGGATGTGGGCCAGGGCCTCCTGTGTGCAGGCTCCCCCAAAGGACCGCAAGTCTGGGCTCCACGTGCGGGAGGAGGCCAGGCTCTGGCCGCCGTAGCTCCAGCCAGGGACGGAGCCTAGCGGGGCGATACCCACAACACGACGCGAGGCCCAATGCTGCCAGGGAGCAGGCCGGTGGGACTCCTGCTCAGGTGCCCCTACAACCAGGAGCTTCAAGTCCCAAAGAACCAGGTGGGACCGGCCGTGAGTGCCTCCCTCCCCATGTGTTGATGACCACGGCAAGATGTCTGGCGGCCAAGACAGGGGGGCTTGTGGGTGGCTCTCAGTGGTCCTGTGGCCACCTGGGCTGGCCCTGCCTGACATCTGGGAGGTGAAGAGGAGAAATGGGGAGTGCCCAGTGCCTGTGAGTCCAAGAGAGAGCTGGTCCCAGTCAGCAAGGCACCCACAGACCCCTGCCAAGGCCCGGGGCAGCTGCCCAGAGAGGTGCGGCACACGGTGGGACTGCAATCCTGCCAACAGGAGAGCCCGTCAGGGGGCTGGGGCCGCAGATCCCGCCCACGTCTGCTTGGTCAGGGCTCAAGCAGCTGCTCCGAGCACCTGAGTTGTGCTCAGGAAAGCCCTGCGAGCAGTCTTGGAGGTCAAGCGCCCCTTGTGACCTTGTGAACTCACGGCCATTTCTGGATGGCTGAGGCTGGCAAGACTCCCAGGGTGGGAGGCTCCCCAGAGGTCCTGCCTGCTCCAGACTAGGGCCCGCCCTGTGAGTGTGGTGAGTGTGGGGCAAGTGCCGGTGGCTGGCTCAGTCCCCCTCTGAGGCTGCGTGTCAACCCCTCTATGCTCCCCCTGCCACGCACAGAGTCCCCCGCACCCACTCTCAGGGCTTCTCTGGCCTTGCAGAGAAGGCGCCATGCAGGCAGGCAGCCCCGGCAAAGAAGGCTGGGCCAGAACAGACAGGGCCTCCCAGTGCTCAGCCCTCTCAGGGTGGGACCAAGAGGACCCCCAGTCAGTCCTCCTGGAGGCGGAGACTCCCCCACCCCACCACAGCCCCGCGGGTCATAGGCAGAGCCAGGGCAGGGGTGGCTCGGGGCTGGCCTCACTCACCACATGTCTCCATCCTGGATGGTCCGGTCATTGGGGGCCCCGGCGTGTCCGTAGTGCAGCACTGCCGAATTCTCACCACTGCAGAGAACAGGGGGAGGTCAACACCTGTCCTCCCCCAGCAGGTCCTGGCCCATGAGCAGGACCAACCCCGCTCCAGGAGAGGCTGGGGGCAGGGGTTGCAGGTGGGGCCCTGCAGCCGGCGGCCGGCCTCATGGCTTGTGGCTCCCGTGCTGACACATGCAGGGCTCCCCAGACGAGCGCCATGTGGGCAGGTGCTCTTGGGGCTGGGGATGTTGGAATGGCAGGGGGGACAAGGGTCTGAAGCCCAGGGAAGGGACCCCAGGGAACCCCTCCCTTCCTGGTGGAGGCAGGGGGGAGGCCCAGGGGGAAGGGCCCAGACCATGTCAGGGGCCGCCGTGCTGCCAGCCTTGCTCCTCTACTCGAGCTTGCTTCCCTAATGAGCGATGCCTTTAAGAAAAAAAGGACTTCTAAGTCTGTCCAAAGGAAAAAAAAACCCACCTGGGTGTAATATTTATGGCCCTGTTCGGGAGTCTCAGGAATCATAAAAGTAGAAATAATGATTTTTCTCTCTATCCACCAGAGAAGAACATTTCCAAAGACTGCGTTGCTCGTATGTATTATTCATGCGCCCAGGATGTGCGCATCAGCAGAGCTGCGGACCCATCCTGGCTGGGCGGAGGCCAGACCCTCTGACCCGGGGCCGGAGTCTGGGCCAGGAGAGCCCGGTGTGCCCAGGAGTGGAGGGGGCCACCCCCAGCCAGGATGTGCCCCTCGAAGACACACCCACAATGACACAAGTGACACGCACACATCCGTGCACACCCAAGGCACGGGCTGCCCGGTTCTCCGGGTCGTTTGAACCCCGTGGCCTCCAAGCACACTCAGCTTCATGCAGCTGACACATGGAGCCCCCTGCCCCAGCCACAAAGGGCCACCTGTGGGGCATGCTGGCTGTGTGCCTCCGAGGGGTGGCAAGGGAGAGCACAGCAACAAGCGCCCCGCATGGGCCAGGAGCCTTAGGAGGGGAGAAGGACTTTGCTTCCGTGGCGCTGTGGTGGGCATGGCAGCAAGTAGGTGTGTCTAAGCCCGGGGTCACCTTCCCACAGCCCTCTCCCTCCGTCACCCCCACTTACCTGCCGCAGATGCAGGTGTAGGAGCTGTGGCGCATGCCGCCCCGGGAGTAGCAGTAGTGCTCGAAGAGGCTGCGAGGGAAGGAGGGACGTCAGGACGGAGCTGCCAGAGCTCGCGCGTCCCCCGCCCCCTGCAAGCCCTTGGCCCAGGCCTTGCTCGGCCAGGAGTTCTCCTGGCTCCAAGCTAGCCTCAGATGGCCCTGGGCCTGACCCTGGGGAGGGGCATGGGGAAAGGAGAGCAGAGCCGCTGGGCACTGGCCTGGAGGACAGGGCCAAGGCGCAGACCCTCACGGAGACAAAGCAGGGCAGAGCGGTCTCTGGTTGGGGGCAGACAGGGAGAGAGAGGCAGAGTCTGAGGACAGACCCTTTTCTCCTTCCTCACGCCAAGCAGCAAATGGCTCCCTGGACAAGCTCCCCCTCTCTGGGCAGGAGAGGCAAAGATGAGATCCTAGAGGGGGTCGCCAGCTCCCAGGCTGAGCCCAGAGCCAGAGCCTGGGGAGGCCTCCAGCTGCACAGGATATCAGCAGACCCGGGACAGAGCCAAGGTCAGAGGGTGAGCCACCCTTGGCAAAACCTGGGTCCTGCCTTCTGCCCTCCCGGGGCAGATCCTGCAGATGACTACAGGGGCTGATGGACCAGACCAGCCTCATGAACACCACCTCAACAGTGCTGAACCCTTGGGGTGCCATGCTACCAAGAGCTCTGGGGAGGCTGTGGCCCTGCCCATCCTCCTGCCCCCCATAAGCTCCAGGACCTGGGGGCTCTGTACTCAAAGAGCTCAGCCTCTCCAGGCCTCACCCCCTCCCTGATGCCTAGGCAACAGCTCAGGCCCAGCACCCCAGGAGCCCTGGCTGAGAAGCAGGGCCAGTGGACCCCAGTCCACCCACAGACCACCAGGGCAGGGGCCCAAGCACAGGGCTGTGCCACTGCTCCTGTCCTCAGAACACCAAGGCTGCCTGTGGGCATGCTGAGTGGCCATCCTCCCCTGCACGCTCGAGGCTGGTTTCGGGAACGTCTGTATAGAGGAGTCTAATCTTCCAGACGCTGTAAACAGCAATTACGTGTAATTGTTATGATTGGGTGTTAAGTAGTTGTCATTCAGGAACGGTTCTGCTACGTTCAGTCGGCTTCCAGACTTGCTTCCCAAGCCTCCCAGGATAATTGTGTATCTGTGAGTGAACGATTTCCTCAACAGAAAGGATTTCAGGAACTGCCACAGGGGCAAGGAAGGGCACACACTGGCCCCTTATCAGTGCCCTGTATTCACAGCAAGGGCACACCGGGGGCGGCCACCAACTTCCACCTCTGTCCTGGAGGCCGTGGACCAAGCCACAGCCCGGTGTGCGGCTACAGCCCAGCCCGTGCCTTCCCGGGGCCAGCCTTCCCAGGGCCCCGCCCCACAGGCAGCCTCTGCTCCCAGACTAGACACTGGGGCCTCGGACATGGGGACCCTCGCACAGCGAGCCCACAGTGAGGGGAGGACGCCTGACGCAGAGCCGAAGTACTCCCTTATAAGGAAGACCCAACCCTGTGGGGATAGAAGCAGATCTCGGGGACTGCATGGTTCTCCAGGGGCTGGGGACAGTGGGCCTCTCCTGGGGTGGGAACAGGCAGACAACGGCAGGCTGTGGGAACAGCCAGGAAGGCCAGGCCAAGGGACAGCTGGGCTGCCTGTGCGCGCAGATGAATAAGTGGGAACATTCTGCAGAGGCCTGACGACGCGGGGAGCGTGGGCGGCCTCCCTGCCCTGCAACCAGTCTCAGTGGCCTGCGTTTCCCTGCCGTGTCCTCTGCTCGGGAGTAACAGCCTTCACGACACGCTCTGGCTTCCACTTAAGAAAAAAGCACTTTAGGGTAAAAGGCATAGCTTACAGAAGCACTCGGCTGAGCGGAGGCCGACCCAGTTTTCACCTGCGGATCGCAGCCCGGCACTGGGCCAGCTTCTAGCCACAGGAAGACGGGAAACACCAGAAGCTGAAAAGTCACTCGAGCTGAAAATGACTCGAGGTTCTTCAAAATTGGACTTCGGCACCTAATTTTGGTTTAAATGAACTTTTCTGACGCGACGTGAGGACCAGCTGGGGCTTTGATGGCAGTGACAGGTGAATGCAACAGGCCCCCCGTTTTCTGCTCACACGTCTTTGAGGGCCCTCTCTCTGGGCTCTCGGGCCTGGGCTGTGGACACAGGCAATGGTCAAGGGGGCCGTGGAAAGATGCGAGTCCCACAGGGGCAGGGGTGCTTCCACGCTGCAAACTGGGGGCACGGGGGTGAGGTGGAGCTCCTGTGGGTCCTGGCTGGGGCTCGGTCAGAGCTGCACCTGTTCCCGCTACACGGCTCACAGACCAAGGTGGCGACAGGAGGGCAGTTCGTAAAGATCCCTCTGGAACTTTATGGAAAATACGGCAAACTGTGGACCAGATGAGAATCAGGTGGCCCGTGATCAGAGGGGACTAACTCCTGACAGACACAATTCAGCTGGAATTGGACTACAGCCCAATTCAGCTGGAAGCTACCCATCTGTCCCTGGGGAGCCACAGGGAGACCACGGCAGAGTCAACTGAAAACTGGAACCAGAACCGCCCCACCTCCCACACTCAGAAGGGCTCCGTGAAAGATAGTACACCCAGAACCATGCTCCTGGGACAGGAAGGAAGAGGGAGCTGCCAGGCTTGGGAAACTGGAGGCCTTGGCTTTTGCTGCCATGTGGGGACAGGGAAGAGGCCTCAGGGGCATGAGAAGAAGTAGCAGAAGAGAACGGAGTCCCCACCCCCACATGCCTGGGCTGGGATGCACCCTCAGAAGAAGGGCAAGACGTGGAGAAAATTCACCAGCGTCGAAACAGGCCATCGGAAAGCCCGCCTGGGCTCTAGGGAAAAAATAAAATACCGGCCCTCCCTCAGAGCTCCTAGCGTGGGTCTGCCCTCCGGGGGTTTCAGGGTCCAGCGTGAACCACCTGCATGGTTTGGAAACTCGTACATCAAGAAATTAGCAGAAGCTATGTTACTGAATGGTGCCCCCAGCAGGAGTGACACAAAGCCAACTGGGCAGCCACAGCCTCAGCCCAAGCCAGCCAGGGTCTATGTGCGTGCTTATGTACACAGACACACACACAGGTGTATATACACACCGCCACACCCTGAAGATGAACATTAGTCCACAAGAGTTGTCAGACACAGCCAGCAGCAGGCTGAGACCCCCAAGGACTTCTGAAAACAGAACTGTCGGGCACTATATGTACCTACGAACTAACTGACACCTAACCACAGAGCATGAAAACACAACACAGCAAAACTTCTGGAGGTGACCAGTGTATCCACCAGCAGATGGGGGCAGGAAGCCAGGCAGCAGGGCCTGCAGCCCAGAGATCACTTCCGCCTGCTCTTTCCATCTGTGACTCCCTCCCATGTGCCCGTGTCCTGCGGGGCCAACCCGCCCCACTCCCTCCTGCTCGCCTGCATGAGGCATGGGGTGGGGAGCACATGACCGGGCACCAGGCACGCGGCCTGGCAGCGGGGGGGGAGTGGGCTTCCTGACGTGCAGAGGCGAGCAGGGGTCTCACACACACCTGCCACAGTGTGGTCTCTGAAGGTCCCCCCGGGCATGGCCGTGCCTCTATCAATTTACCCTCCTTGCCCATAAATTTCTCCCAAGCAAGACACGAGTGGAAAATGCTTTGTCTCCAGGCATCAACGAGAACCTTTCAGTAACCTGGGAGAGTCTGTACTGTGAATAACGAAGCGGATGGAACGACCCCAGCGACAGAGTGGCAGGCCCATTTGTCAGTGCCTGGAGATGACGAATGGGGCAGGGAGAGCGATGCCGTGGCCCCGATCTGCAGGAGTGGGGTCTCCAGGGACAGCACTGCGGGCCTCCCCCGGGCCCCGAACATCCAGCCCATGGAGCTTTCCTGGGCTCACAGCCCAGCTCCTGCCCTCTGAGGTTTATCGCCTGATGATCAGATAGCCACGGTCCTATAAAAATGCATTAGCTGCCCAAGATGATGGCAGAAGGGCTGCCCGGGGCAGCCAGGGTCAGCGAGCCATCAGCATAAGCGTGAGGGCCGGCAGCGGGCCAGCGGGGGAGGTGAGCCGGGGCTGCATCACCCCCCCCCCACCACCCCAACCCGGGCAGATCCCGGGAGGCCGAGCCGGGAACAGGAGTGTGGAAGGGCAGATGGGCAAGGCTGCTCCCCACACACTCAGGCCTGTGGCTTCTCCACCTGGTGCATGTCCCATCGTCCTTGCTCTGGGCCACATGCCGAGCCTCATGGGGCTCCGCTCAGTACTGACGCTGAAGCCAGATCCTAGCTCTGCCACGTACCAGCTGTATGGCCCGTCTATGCCTTAGTTTCCTCGTCTATAAGATGGGATAACAGCACCTCCCACAGAGCTGCTGTATCACTTACATGATGAGACACACGGAGGTTATAATGGTGTCTTCCAGGACACATTGGCTGTCACTGCTGTCCACGTTCAGGGGCTTCAAAGGGACTGCACACAGCAAGGACCCCTCGAGGGAGGCTGGGCTTACACATAGAGTCTCTTGTCCTTTAAAGCCAAACAGAATCCCCCCGTGGCCCAGACCCCTGTGCCCACACGATGCGTCCCCAGGACAGACACGCACACGGGCGTCCTCTGACACAGGGCATCCAGCTGCCTCTGTCCTGCTCACGCCTCCGGAAGTCTCGCCTCCTCAGGGAGGTGCCAGGGCCTCAAGGGGTGAGAAAGGAGGGCGTGGGTGTGTCTCGTGCTGTTCTGGAGCTAACGACTATGTTCTGTGCCGTTATCACAGCACAGGTGTCCTCTGGATTCACATTTACTCTGTTTAATCAACTACCCTTATGTTGGGGGTATAAATGACAACTACGTAATGAATGTGATGGGCCTTTTGGAGACCTGAGTACTTACTAAAAGAAAATTCTTGATAGTAAGAAAACCACAGTCCCGAAAACAAGAGCCCTGGGATTCACCCTGAGGCAAGTGGAGTGTGTTTCTGTTTTCCTGCTTTCCCCATCGGGGAGGCAACAGCAAGAGAGGACTCGGATCTAGACCCCAAAGAGGGGTCCCTGCTAG